AAAAAAGACATTTTCGGGGGGCAGGGGATCGCATTGGCGAATTCGGTCGGGGGAAGGAGGAAGTGCTGGTCCAGTCTCCAGATTTGAGATCTCCTGAGGTTGGCATTTCTGCTTTCGTCCAATCAGAAAAGAGATAGTGAGTTGAATGTATAATAACTGGAAGGATATTTGTGTTCACTCGGGCTCTCTGTTGGAAAGAAACGATGAGATTTGCGTTTATGCTTCTCTCGATTGACGTTAGATAGCTCAGTTGATATACAAGGCGGTGCTCTAGCGGCGCCCGGTCGCCTCAGGCGATTAATATTTGGTCTCGGGCGACTGAAAAAGAAAACGGTCGCCCGTACGGGCGCATAGATTTCGGCTTGTGTGAAAACCCGAAACGAAACCAACAAACGTATAGAAACGGAACGGAACGAAACAAAAAGAAACTCCATCGTGCTCCCCGGCTCCCGTTAGCCCGAAAAGCAAAAGCGCTGAAAGCGCAGTGCAATCAATAGCCTGTGTGATCTGTACATTTAGGTTAAATATTAAGTTAGGTCATGGGTCTTGTTTCGCTTCGGTGGTTTCTCTTCCGGTTTATTAATATAGTACATGGCCCAGGTTTCTTGTCCATTGAACGACGCGATAAAGCGAGTAACTGATTGTAACTAACATTTTATAATTTTACTTGCTAATTTGATGACATTTGCAGAACTAAAAAATATTTGGCATGACAAAAACAAGAATTGTTCACGCTCAAAGTTGTCGCATGTGTTATGTAATATTGTTTCACATGATTTAGTACGAAAAATTATTTTTTCCTTGCCCGTGAGAAACTGCACGATTTTTGCACAAGCATGCGTTGAAGATCTAATTTTTCTATTGAAGTGGTTGATGCTTATATTTAATTTTTGTGTTTCAACAATTTCAATAGTGGAGCGCGTGATTAATAAAACGAAATCGTCCTTTATGCAAATTTATGTTTATTTGATTAGCTTCGTCCGTGGTATGCAAGATGTTTATCAGCACGAGCTGGAAGGCTGGGCGACCTACTTGTCATGGTTAGGCGCCCGAAGGGGCGCCCTGAAAATTTTCCTAGAGCACAGCCTTGATATAGTATATTTCTCGATGGAAGGTTCACTCATAAATGTTCACTTATCGAGATCTCTCGTAAGGTTCGCGGACCGACCCGTTAAGGATCGGAAACGCTCGAAATCTTTTTGTGTGGGTCTACCGCGAACGTTGTGTGCGTATATTTTTATACGTTTTGAGCGTATTATACACAGTATTTGAGCTGATTTCGCACCGCAAAAACCTCTCTCCAGCCGCCTTCACACCATGCCATGTGCCCTAAGTCAAAACGTCGCGCATGCGTGTTAAGGACTCAAGTGCGATTTCCAACTGAATGAAAAAGAAAGACGAAGCCGGAATTTTATCTCGAGCGTTTCCTTTGGACAGTCCGAATGAGAAGAATCAGGCTTGAACATTTTATGGTTTCGTTTGGGTGTCTGCTGACTTTCACCCTTTCCTCTCTATATACAAATTTTCAGAGCTTTATTCATAACCCTCAAAGATTTTGTTCATCTCATGTCAACAATTATTAACCATGAACACATAATACAGTAGTTGCCAAACTCAGTTGCCTCTCATCCTTTAATAAACTTGTTAATTCACTTGATTCATTGACCAACAAAATGCAAGCAAGCGAGGACCTCGAAAGCCCTCAATAAGTTTCTTATTCCACAGTAAAACACAGCCCGCTAATTTTAGCCAATCATGGCAACAGCAACCCAACTCAAGTCTAGGTGCAATATTTAAACCTTCAATTTTGATTACTTTCGTACTTTGCATACAGCCTATCAAGCCCTCTGAATACCAACAACAGTTCTTTCATTAGATTTAAGGTTTGACAGCAGTTTATCCAAAAAAAGACACTATTTATCAAATATATAAATACCTTATTTACCTCACATGCACACTATGGTCAAGATTAACCAAAATTGGATTAAGGAAGCCTAAAATTTCTGCACAGAACTTTACATTGAGAAAAAAACCATCTTAAGTTTTTTAGTATTTTTTTCCCTTAAATCTTTAAACTGCCAGATGTGATCCACATGTAACTTCTCACTGTGATTCCAATATGTTATATTGCAAATAGCTTATTAGAACAGACAGGGTTGGCAGCCAAAGGGCATCATCAAAATATAACAGCCAACTCTCCCCTTTAGTGTGGTGGTCAGAGGGGAAAATTGCTAGTTGGATCTTGAGAGTTAAAGGGTTTAGCCAACTTTGATGCAGGGATGTTTTGGAGTGATGTGTGGAACCTCAATGGCAAATTTTCACCTAACTTTCACTTACTGATATGCACAGAATCTTGCATTCTTCAATGTTGATATCAGTGTTCTATCACATTAAACATCCTTCTAGCTTACTATGATAATAAGAACAACAATAACAATATTAATCAGTAATATTGTGGGCTAGTTTTAAAATTACAGAATTCACAGAAAAAAAATTTTTTTGCTGTAGAATTTCTCTTGACCTATAATTTTCCTTATTAGATCATTCATTTTACATATAAGTCATTACATCTCCCTGCCTTGGATAAATAATTATTCCACACCTTTAAGCAGGTTACCCAGTTAGTGACCACTCTTGACAAATAGTAAGAGGTACTTGTCAAGGCCATTTTGGAGAGGAAGATTAACACACCAAAAAAATCTAATGAAGGCCTAATGTAACTGAGGTGTACAAGCATGGCACAACCAATAAAAGAACTCCTGAGCGCTTAAGTCATAAGTACATACATGCATAACAACACTTCATTCAAATGTTTGAAATAAGACCTGATACAATTTAACCAATAAGGTAATGATCCTAACTTGTGTTTCTGGTAAGATTTTTCCCAGCAGTTGTTCCATGTATGAAAAATGTTCAGACAAGTAACTTTTCTCCCACTGTGCAATATTACTTTAAATCTGCATTTCTGTGTGGCTAATAACCTTTAACTTAAATTTGAAAAAAAAAAATCACAGTTAATCTCAATTTGCTTTGGGCTGTCTGTCTGTCTCTGTTGGAGTTTGCTTATCTGTTTCTCTATTCTGAAAGATTACTGATCTTGACAAATGGGATCAAGTGCAGGCAGAAATAAAGATTTGGATAGTTTCTGTTATAATTTTAATTAAAACAGAAACAGGACAATGTAAAATTATAAGTGCATTACTAGAGTCTATGTGGGTAGACCAGACCCACCTTGGTATATTACCTACCCTACACTCACCCACAAAACATAATTTCACACTTTTTAGATCAGTTTTAGACCACAATTTGATCAAATTCAATTGGGTTTCCCTGCCCATTTCATGTCATCTGATCGCGGCTTCACCCCTGTTGTTTTCTCAATCAACCACTCTAAGGATCGCCAGAATCTGATCACCTCAAGAGGATAGTCAAGCCAACCAGTTGTGATGCAGAAGTATGTCTCATGGGGAGAAACATGGTGAATGCGATGATGCTTGCGTGGTAAGATAATATGCCAGTCCTGAAGTTTTTGTACCCACATTGGCAAACCAAAGTAGGTGTGTGACCACTTGTGGATTTGGTTGGTTAAGGTAACATACACAGCCAAGAAGAACACAAAACAGTCTGTTCCATAGGATGCTTCAATTGTTTCTTGGTCATAAATGAGAAACTTGTAGACCATGTAAGATAAACCAGGTAAGGTCAACAGACAATTGTCACCATTTGTTTCAATCAAATCATGTCTTGTTATGGCTGTGGGGTCCACATGATGTTCTCGGAAAGGACGGATGAAGGCTTTGCCAAAAATAGGGATGTCTACTGCTCCCCATGTGTCTGCCCCCCAATGAACCAGCCCAGAGAGGAAGTCTGCAGTGACTGCTCCTGCAACTACAAAGGCAAAAAGACAAACATTGGCATTGATGTCATCATGTCATCTGATTGCGGCAACTACTGAGGTAATTGCCTCCATAACTAAAAAGGCATAAAAACAAACATTGTTATTGAAAAATACTGATCTATTTTAATACTAGAGTCAATATGGAATAATTAAAAAAACAAACATAGTGGAATGATGTTATTTTCACTTTGATCTGATAAAATGAAGGTCAATTTCATTCATATCATAGATTCTTTGTTAGGACACATAAATCAATAAATTTTACTTTTTAATGAAATCATTATTAACCCTGAACATCCTAACCGTTACTTGGTATATTAACAGAAATAATTTTATTTTAATTCTGTGTGGTATGTACTAAGACAATTATTACTCTCAGTGACATTGAAAGTTGTGTATACTTGACCACATTACTTTGCAGCTCAGTAAATATCTATCAATATTCACCTTTACTTTGGTGAATAAGGAAAATAGTTAAATATTAGTGATATGTTTATTTGGAGAATAAATGGATGCCTTCTTGGTAATAGGGGTGTTTTCTAAACCATTGAAACCTAATTCACTTCTTTATCTACGTTGAATGATGGTTCAATGTATCAATAAGAAGAGCCAAGAGGAAGGTCCATTGGAAGATTTCCCCAAACCTCAAAAAGGAACAGTCAACAGGCCAGACTTGGAGCCAAAACTGCAGATCTTAAATTGGATTGCTTAGTTGCTGCAAAAACTACTCGTAGACACTTTGAACTTTTGTAGTGCACTAAATGTATGGACCTTGTCCAAAAGATGCCAGCTACACCTCATGATAATCACCTAGTCAATAACAAACATGACTGGTAGAGTGCTACAATTCAAGCCACTCACCTGCAGCAAACACAACTGTTCTGATTTCAGAGAGTTGGAAATTCTTACACAAGTAGAAAAGAACTATGCTGGAAAAAATGGCACATGATACTACACTAAAGGTCTCCAAGCGTCTTTTCCCTGAAATTCAGAGCACAGAAACACTATTAAAATAAAATATAAAATATTTCCTTACACCAGAAGAAAATTTTCCAGCTGTTCTGATATATATGAAGAGACAAATTGGACATGTCATTAAGACCCTTTAACTCCCATGAGTGACCAAGACAGAATTTCTCCTTACAATATCAATACAATATCAACCAGACTAGTGATGAGAATAAAGAAAAAATATCAATTTGTGGATAATTAGTTGATCCAATACTAAATTCTCTGAACTAACATTATAAGAATTGTATGGTTGACAGTAAGGAGAATTACAAATTTGATCTGGGAGTTAAAGGGTTAAATTGCTTTTTCTCATCATGACTTTTCAACCCTTTCACTCCCAGAGTTGACTTATATGTAACTTCTCCCCATAACATCCATACAACATCTAGCATCAAGTAATGAGAATACTCAAACTTATCAGGTAATTCTGTTATCTTGATCTAATATCAAATTCTTGTAACTAATTTACAGGGATCTTGGGAGTTTAAGGTTAAGCTGCTACTAATTTTTCTCAATAAACATTTCATTTAACTTGAGAGGCAATCTTCTCCAACCCTTGACACCCTAAAATCAGTGAGCATATTCCCCATACTATTCTCTATACATTTTCTGAGGCACTGACAAGGAGAATTTGTTAAACAATCAAGAGTTTATTTGTTTATGATCATTTTCTTGATTCTTTTGAAGTTTATGTTTGATTTGGGGGTGATTTTGAAAGGAGAAATTAGATACCAGTCACTCTTAGGGGTCAAAGGGTAATTGTCATCTATGGAAAATTTACTTAAAAGAAGCATGATAATGGCTAAATAGTTTTGACAGCCACACATTTAACAGTTAACTGGGCCTTGTAAACTTAAACCTCTATAACAAACAAGGACTGATTGGTAACTCTATTTCCTAGCTGGGTTATATGAATCTGATGTTCTCACAGGTGAATCCCCTTTAGCTAAAATTCTAATGTGTTCAAGAATTCATTGAGATTGTTAACAAGGTAGATTTAAGAAACCAATAGTATCCTTGAAGGTGTTACTTCTCCAGCTTCAACATATATTAAATTTAACCCTTTGACTCCCATGAATTACCGCAACAATGTCAAGCAGACACATGATGAGAATAAAGAAAAATATCACTAGGGAATTATTAGTTGATCCAATACCAAATTCTCCCTACTAACTTCATAAGAATTGTGTGAGAGGCAGCAAGGAGATTTACTAATGAGATCTTGGAAGTGAAAGGGTTAAAGGAGGAGCAGGGATGGGAGAAATGTAACGGATGGAGACAAAACAAGCAAAGCAAAGGAGTAGTAAGTAAGCAAATGCACATGGAAATGGTCCTGCAAACTTTCCTGAGATCTCACGCACTTATTAGGGAAACTACTGAAATGAATTCATTTTAACCTTTGCCAAAATTACATTTAGCCTCATTAGACAGATTTTCCACCCAAAAAAAAAGCTTCAAATGAGTCTTCACTGGGGAAACCTTATGGATTGCATAGGAACTTTGAAATAAAACCGTCACTAACTTGACCATACTTCATTCACATCAGTAGGCTTTATATCATGGGGGAAGTAAGAATATAACAGCTTTTGCTCACTCTGAATTAGCGACAGTTCACTGATTCATTTTGTGGGATGTTGAAGAGATATGTACACATGCATGTACAGGACATCACAAGGAAATTGCAAAGCTTAAACAGCTGTAAAAGAAGGGTAACTTTTACCAAGGCTACTAATAGATGAATTCGACGCTATGATTATCGAAGCCTGTAAACTGTATGACAACTTGATCATACTTGACTTGCATAGCTAGGTTTTGTATCACGGAGGAAGTTGAAGTAAAACTGACTTATGCTCACTGTTAGTAAGTGACAGTACAGTTCGCTGAATTTTGTTCTAAGATATTGAACGCTACATATGCATGTACAGTACAAGCGAAGCTTAATTAGCTGTAAAAACAAGAGTCACTTTTAGTGAGGCTCGTTTTAGATGAAGCTTCGAGTTAACCGAAGCCTGTGAGCTACCTGACAACTGGATCACACTTGATTCAAATCACTAGACTATACATCATTGAGGACCGTTCATTAATCCTTGTTATGAGATGTTTTAACATACAGCACATTACTTAACGAAATCCCAAGTTTGAACAGCACTAAAATCAAGAGTAACTTCTACAAAGGCTCCCAAAAGATGAAGGTTTGAGTAAATCGAAGCCTGAGGCTATCTGACAACTACCTAACGGAAAACTGTTATGCAATAAACAAACCTTTAGTATAGCCCTCAGCCAAAGTCTTCGCATTAATCGCTTTTATTGAAGCTGGTGATCTTCCTACTCCGTTCTTCAGTTCAGAAAAGTCAGTAAACCCTTGATTGGGTTCATCTGTAGCATCCTGAGATATGACCATTTTAATACCGGTACATTTTACTCCAAAAATAACTGAAAAAATATATATTATTTCACTCCTCCCATCATCTTCCAAGTTATGGCCGCTAGATGGGGTGATGTTCTGGCCTGATGTGATAAAGCGTTACATTGTGTAATCATACATGACACTCAAGACGACAGCTGACCTTTACGCAATCGAGTCATCAAACTACACCGTTCAGTAGAGAGTCTATTCAGATTTCTTAAAATGAATTGCTCGATTGCATCCCGATTTTCAGCGACGTTGGGTGGGTGTGCGACTAGGACAACTTATTTAAGGATTACCTTGGTTCGATCTTATGCTGCGAAGAAAGGTAAGGGTCAATACCAGAGCCCATATAACTTCAGTGGCTGTCACGTGTACAGAATAAAATGAACTTGTCAAAATGAATTTTTACCTCTCCAGTCCTCCCGCCCCCTTGCCAAGGAAGTGTAAGAGTCTACAGGGAGTTAGGAAAATGAAGATGTTTCTGTGTACAGCATAACCAGGCCTGATAGTGGATTGAATCCCAATGAGTCACACCTCCTTTTTTAGTTTTCAGTGTGACAGAGAGAAGTATCTTAGCCAATCAGCCAATCACTGATGGCTATATACATGTGTCCAAGTGGTATGCAGTGGCCCAATGGTTGGTACACTAGACTCTGGGTTGGGTGGGTTGGATTTCAGACCTGGCTGGGTCATTGTGTTGTGTTCTTGGGCAAAACACTTTACTCTCAAAATGCTCCTCTCCACTAGGAGTAGAAATGGGTATTGGTGAATTGTCAGGGAAGTCTGATGAAATGGCAGGGGTAGCTTTGCAGTGGACTGCCTTTCTATCCAGAGAGAGGTGGGGTGGGCGGGGGGGGGAAGTAATAGTGCTTTTAGTTTCTAGTTTTAAGTTTGCTATGAGAACCAGGATAAGCTTGAGTTGGATGGACCTCTTGGCTTGGGTGTAGACTTTACCTTACCTTTACCCAAGGGGTTCAGGAGGTGACGGAGATTGGAGAATTCTCTGGCTGCCAGGCAGAATTAACTACTGTGGTTCTTGGCTTGGAAAATGTAGTTGTTATAGCCAGTTATTATTATTTTATCTCTCAATTAGTATGTGTGCTATGATTGGTCAATTCAGCAAACTAAATTCTACTGTATGGCCCACATGAATTAAAAGTTTCTTTGAATTGAAATCTTCCCTCTATTTGCACCCACAGATAGGATAAATACCTTACTAACCTTGTTTTCTTTGCCCCTTTTGTAAGTTATTGAAGCTGTTTTTTTTTCGCTTGGATTTATGGCCTGCTTGCTTTGTGCTTGGGCCATAAATCTAAGTGGAAAACAAAACTTGGTCTGTAACTTACTGTGCAGACTTCAAACTTTGTTAGTACAAGGTATATGTAGCTGACTCTTCATTCTGACTCAACCTGATCTTTTCAAACACCCAGATTTACCTGATTTCACTGTTACAGCTAGTCAGCACTCATGCTCAGCTAATGTAATGAGCTTATAACTAACATGCAGAAATATTATCATTGATATTTCTCCACAGGAAAAAAGGCCAAGTCAGCTGCTGTTTCATTAGACCATGATTTAGCAGATGGGTTAGTTGATTTGGAAAAATTAAAATCAAACATGACAAGTACAGTGACAAGACTTCAACTTGAGTTTAAAGACAAAATAACTGTCAAAGTCAAACCTGGTTAGTCTAAGCTCAATTGTCTCAGACTCCTCTCCAATATATCTACATGTACAAATTCATTATGAATGACAAGTAATAGTGGAGCTCGCAGAGTGTAGCGCATAATTATACAAAATGGTAGTAGTAACTTATCAAGCCAAAAAAATTTGGACTTATGACCACACGACCGTATGACCGACCGTACAAGGTACTACTTTTAACATGTGTGGTCAACTGTACCACGGGCACGCCAACGCCATGGCTTTGTCCAGTAGTCCAGTGGTCAGTGCACTGGGCTCCGAGTTGGATGACCCGGGTTCTAGTCCTGGGTGGGGCAAGGCATTGTGCCCTTGAGATGTGTGAGAAAAAAAATGCGAGCTCCACTTTTAGGCTTGGCTAAATCTATATATTATTTTCAATCTTAAATCCTTGAACTCCTAGAGGTACTTAACATTTAACTTTTTTCCATGATGTCCATACATTATCCAGGAATCAGGTTATGAGAACACCAGGTACATGCAGAAGTTGTTATCTTGATCTAACACCAAATTCTCATGACTAATTTGCAAGGAAATAGGTAGCAGCTGGAGGGGAGACTTAACAATCAGATCTATGGAGTTAAAGGCATAATATTGGGAAGCACCGCATTACACCTTTTGATTACAAGCTGCAAGGAATAATCGAAAGAAACAAATTACAAGGCAGTATTACTGATATTTATCTGTCAATCTTGCTCTGCCAAACCCATTTAATTTTCAACCTAGCATTCTTGTATACCTGCCAGATATTATGTGGTAGGTAAGAGTCCTATTCCTGCTCAGGAACAACACCACTGTTGAGTCAACTAATGCTCTGGAAATAAATTTTATGTTGAAGTAATGTGCTAGAGTTTCACTCTTTTGGCAGATGTACTTCACAAGGTAAAAGTGGAATCGGCAAATGGAAAAGAAAAGTTTTTGCTTGGTGAAGTTGCACAAATCAAACTTAATAACAGCATGTTCGTGGTGGACTTAAGTAGCTTACCAGAGGTAGGTAAAATATGTACAGGTGTAACTAGTACTTTATTTTTTCATCCACAAATGGTCAGTGTCTAGAAACCTTGCTACGAGGAAGAAAGGGCAATCCCATTACTATCATTAGAAGGTTACATGCTATAGAATTCCAGTCATTGGTCTTGAGAGAGAAATTTCCACTTCAGCAATTTGAATTGCACTATTACTACACTTTAAAAATAGAAAGTTTCTCCCCTTCTTTCCTCCCCGCCCCTCTTCAGGCATTGGTAGCTTGTCAGCAGGGGTCTTCCTTCTTTCAGAATCTAAGTAATATAATGGATTGCAATAGTCTTAGTGGAATGTGGTAAAAACGTGTAAGGTCAGCAATGTGGTGGATTAACACTGCTCCAGTTTTATGTAATTGTAAAATTTTTTGGCAAAATGTCAAAGATCATGAAAATGAAAATTCCATCGTACATATGTGTGACCTGATTCCTCACTTGTTAAGTTCCTTTTGTTTAATGGCCCATTTCAGGCATTCAGTTAACCCCTTGATCCCTAAGAGTGACTAGCATCTAAATTCCCCTTACAATATCACCCCTGAAAAAAACATTAAGGTCATGAGAATAAAGGATATGATCACCAAATAAAGAAGCTCTTGATTATTCAATAAATTCTCCTTGTCAACACCTTAGGAAATGTATAGAGAACAGCATGGAGAATATGCTTAAAAGGTGAGGTAGTAACAGTGTTGTGAGAAAAGGGGGTAGGTTTGGGTGTGTTTGTGTAATGAACTACCGATACCTCCTCCTTTTCTTGCTCCATTGCTACTATCATGCTCTGTTTTACTAACTACACACTTTGAATAGGCTACATGCATATGTTTGATAGTGTGCATTCAAGTTTAAATGCTGGTTATGATAGACCGCAAATCAATAATTAGGTTCCAGAGTCTAAAGCTAGTTTAGACAAGGACTCTCTCAAGAAACCTCCTAAGATGTTTATGTTTATTTGTTTGTGTTTTTTAGACCATCAATTGGAATATTAAAAAAAATGTATGATGGAACACCACAATGCTTTGTCATGATTAATATGGTATTTACAATTGATATTTCTCATTTAGCTTGTGCCTCAAGCTGCTGAAGCAATTAAAACATGGAATACAAATTTTGAGCCCACCATGTCTGGTCATGTGATATCTATACCCATTCCAAAGTAAGGCTTTTTTTAGCTGTACAGCATTCCTTTGATTATTTTTTAATGGAAATTGCTCTATTGTTTCCCTTTTACAGGAATCTCTATAAAAACTTATGTATTTGACTTTAAGCTTGGACAGATAGAGACCATTGCCCTCACAACCCCCCCTCCCCAACAATTTTCTGGGTAGCTTAAAAAATGCTTAGGGAGGGGAGGGGAACTTGTGATGAACTGGCATCCCATCCAAGAGGAGTTGCAATACTCCTAATCCCTTCTTGAATCAGAAATAGGAATAGGCTCTTACTGGTTGGGCCATCTAGCTTGAGCACAGAATTTCCATCACTTTTTTTTTATGGTAGGATATAGAAAATCAGTAACCCTTTTTCCTCTACAGAGTTACTCAGGAATACCGTGAAAACCTGGTCAAATTGGCCAAGTCAACAAGTGAACAATACAAACAAAGCATTCGAAAAATAAGACAGAAAGGAATGACTGACATTAGGAAAAACAAGAAAGGAAAATCAGAAGATGATGCAAGGATGGTGGAGAAAATGGTATGAACAATTCACTAGAAGGTGTTTTGCCTAATTTTCTGGGTTTTTTTTTATCCCCATTTTTTGCCTGAATATTTTGATTTTGAAATAGCACATATTTTCTCTCATCTATTTCTTTGAACAGATTCAACAACTTACAGACCAGTTTTGTGGGGAAACAGACTTGCTTCTAGAAGAAAAAACTAATGAACTTTTGAGAAAGTGACTGTGGATATAAAATGTTTTTATATAATAAGAATCAAACATAGCATCAATACGGTATCTGACATGTCACTCTTACCTAAAGTGTCAATGCATCACATGACATGTTATGGAACTAATTTGCAACAATGGAGGCTGCTTTGTAGCAGATACAGGCTGTGTTCACACAACAAGGGAAGGGGAGGGTTTTTTTTTGCACAATAATATGCTTGGATATATTTGTCTGATTTTTAAATCTCAAAAACACTGATGAGTAACAGAGTCTTTTCCCTTGTGTTCTAATATCCCATTCTCAGTTTTTGCTTCAAATTTACTTATTATCTGAATAAAGTTGAGCCAGTTTGGGTCCTGACTGGATAAATGATGCTTTTTCAAATTGGTGTCATCTGCCCTTTGACTAATTAATATTCAAAAACTATGTTAAAAAATGAAAACTTTGGATTCATGTTAGTATCTGAGGAAATGTGCAACTACCCCTTCCCTAACCCAACATTAACTGGAACTTTTTATCAGTTGGCTGGTGTCGCATTAGGTGTGGGGTAGGTGCACAGTTGTCCCGGATGCAGACAGTGACCCAAAACTTTCATTAGATGGAAGTTTTCTGGCCATATATCTTACGGATGGGGAGGAAGAACTGCCAAAGAATAATTACTTCAAACCCTTGTGACAAGGTTTAAGATTTGAATAGGTAATAACATGATTTCAAGTGCAATTTGGTTTAAATAACCACGAGTAAATTTTTGAAAGAAAACAAAATTACACAAGCATAGGGCTCTTTCTTTTCTGCACATTATTAGACGAATTGAGTGTGTGCTGTACATATTGAATTCGTTGAATTGTCTAAATCGCAATGCGCCGTCGTCTAAGAAACTCGAAAACTAAGGTTAGATGAGGGCAAGAAAATATCAACTGTTAATTTTCTCTTGATAAGGACACGTAAACATAGATAAACTGTTACCGGGTTGTTATGAAGATCTGTCAACGGTTTCTGTGTATTTGATCACCATTAGAATAAATAAATAAAATTGTGTCTTCTCAGTTTTGAGATACTTTCAGCACGAGAAGATAAAATCCGTATCCCCAAGCGGCCATGTAATATCCTCTACATATTCACAGACCATGAGCTTGATTTTATGAGGTCAGTTCATTCGCTCACAATGCTGCAGTTAAGCAATCAGCATTTTTACTTTTTAAGAACCTTCGTCAAAGTTAGAGATATCTGTTTTTTCAAATGTGTGTGGGGCATCGCTGACTTTCTGCGAGTTCCCGGGTATTTAGACGATTCTGCAGACGAGCCAAAATAAGAACAACGATTATAAATACGTTCAGATATTCTGAGACGTTTGATTACTTCGACTGCTGACATAAATAAACTCTTGAAAAAAAGAAGAGAGGTAGAATTACCTTTTAAACTTGTAAATTTTTGGAAAGGAGCAACAGGTTAAATTACCGGTACCGTTTCAAACCATCGATCAATTGCCCTATGTTATTGTTTTTGTTATTACTTACTCTTTCAAAAATGTTCAAGATTGGTATTTTCACAAGTATTTCGTAAACTTGCCAAATTTTAGGTCTGTCGAAACGCTAATTCTTGAAAAGTCAGCTTTAGACTGAATCTCTGCGGTGGCCAATTTACTTTATCAACTTAATTGATAAAACCAAATCATCTTGAAATACCCCCAACGACGCAGCACCACAGTTTCCTTATTAAACTTTTTCCCTTTATGGATATATTTCGCAATGTCAAAGAATGTTCCTAAATATCTCAATAATTAAATCCTCTGATAAAAATATATCTTTCCGCTTTGAAAATACAACTAGTTTGAATTATTAAGGCAAACATTTTCACGTTCTGGAAACGAAAAGGCATGTCAGAGACCGCTGAATTGAATTTATTTTTCACATTGAGGAAATTTTTTTCACGAAATAGCGAGGACACCACAACTTTCAGCTGAAATAGCTGCTGGGAATTTTCTCATGATTTCTTAATAATACCTTCAAAATGCCTCGAAAACTTCCGTTGCAACCGAAAGTATTAACAAATCTGAGCACAAAAGTATATTTATTTATATTTTAGCCTTGTATGTTTTACTTATTGCTTTCAGAATTTCATTCAACATAATGAATTTGAATACTACATATTACACGCAATATTTAAGCGAAATTTCGATACAAATACTGAAGATTTTCGTCATCAAACATTCCTAGCCTTTCTCAGTTCCTTGGTAACTTTATTTAGCAAAATAAAACTTGGGAAGCACAAATTGAACGCTAGAATCATGTTTTTTCCATCTACCAGACTCTTACACACTGTTAAGCGATACACCAGCCCATGTTGACAGCATCCGAACATTGTTATTATTAGAATTTCCGTTTTATTTATAACTTAGGAATTTCGTCGCGTCAGTTCGTGAGTACTTGTGTCACAGAGTTTGAAATATCTGGTTTCATACGCATATATATGAAGTAGAAGACAGATAGCAACAACAATTTGGCACATTTTTGATAGGGGTGACGCCTTTCAGTTACGATAGCAAGTATTGTAAACAAAGACGTTTTTCTTCTTTTTTAGAGCTCATTGTCTGTAAAACCTTCTTGCGAGAGGATGAAATAATTAAAATTATATTACACATTCTTATATGATCGGCGCGCTTATTAGTATAAAACGTTCCTTCAAAAACTATGACAATACTATACACTATCTGAAAGTATTTTCAAAAGCAGCAATGCATAAATGATGAACACAAAACGTTCTCGCCATAAGATACTGATTGCTATAAGGCTATGGTTATTAGTGTTTGTCGTTCAAGCTTTATATCAATCCCTCTCGGCTTGTCGTGTCTTTAAGGTTTGTACAAATGTTTTTCGCGGCTAATCTTGTCCATGATTGAATCGCTTGAGTGCCGGACTAATCCAGTTCGAAATATGATACCCTTATTGGTATACCACACTCCACTGAAAAAAATTGATATTGTCCTCGGCGCTCTGAGTGAATTGATAACCGTGAGGAGTTAGTAATCATTAATTCTGCTGCACGCAACTTTCAAGGTCGTTTTACAATTTCTAAGCTTATCACTGTGAGCCCAAAAACGATGAACCTGTAAGATGAGTTGGAAAAAAAAAGACATTTCAGTGGCTTGTTAAGTCCAAGTGTATTTTATCTTATTGATCCACTCTACCCACCCATCCCTGCTGGTTACAAAAGGCTGTATAATTATGCAGACAAGGCTTCTCTCAGACGACTATTGCATTCATAAATACCAATTTTGCTGGATCTCAGCCAGGGAGATTATTTCCCACCGCTAGCAATACCTAAAAGACTGTTTCTTCACCTTGGAAACAATTGTACTTGTCTTCAGGTTGTAAAGCGCCCATGTTGTTCCGTCAAATAGCAGTTCCAGTCGTTTTAAGCTTGTTTTTTCATTCCGCGTCAATTTATTTTCTTAAATTAAAAGTGACCATCATTTGCAAATGATTAAAAATTAATTTGTACTATCTAATTGAGTTTCGTAAGCTTGCTATCATAATATCCGTAATTTTTAAACTTTGCCTTGGTGTGAAACCACAGAAAGGGAGCAATCGATCAATCGGGTGATTGGAAATCTCTTAAAAAGAACTCAGTAACAGAGAAGCACATCAACGGTAAAGAAAAAAGGGAAAACAAAAAGAATAGGGCAAATCTAGTTAATATTTAAAATTCGATGGGATTTGGCACGAATTGAACGCACGAAAAAGGAAATCGCTCCTAGGTGACAAAAGCTTATTAAAGTGCTGAATCTGGTCTAACGGTTTCCTCGATAAAATTCTTGAAAGACATTGAAATGTGAATCTCATCCATATACCCGCACAAAGAGCCGTTTTTCCACTGTTCAAAAAACTGAGTGTAAATATATTTCCCCCGTTATTTTGACATCAGAAGTAATAGTGGCTATTTCATCAGCAGATTTAAGGCTTCACTGAAGTCGTTTAAAAAATTCCGGTTCTCAGCGGCACATCAGAGGATCTGTACTGTTACCGTTACGACTTATTCGAATGAACTCAAGCGAGGGCGTGATTCGAGTGATAGGCACAAAGCACAGGCTGTGAATCACTCATGCTTAAATTAAACGCTTTGTTTCCAGAGTTTTCGATCTATTGTTTACAGCGCCATCTTAACAATTGTTCGAGCTTTGTTTATGATCGTTAAATCTCTCTCTTATGTTTTGGCGTGGGAAAAATGTGTTGAATGTTGTTTTGCTAGTTGATGTGCCAGAGTAAGAAGTTGGATATTTCACCAGCTCTAGATATCAAGACAGAAGTTGTCTCAAAGCCAGAACATTATTTAGAGGTTTGGCTTGGAGATATGTGGGGAATGTAAAAAGACTGCTCTTTGCGTATGATAAACACCTTCATTAATGAATTCCCAGTTGTCTCCAAAGGTGAATTGATTGGCTGCCTTGAATCGGAAGTGGGTAGGGTTGGGCATACAACGTAACTGTTCGAGTACTTTACCAGAAAAGCAAATTTCTTTAGTTGCTTTAAATCTGTTGATTGTTTGACGCGGTTACATGGTACCTTAGCTTTGTTTTCGACATATGAACCCATGCTTAGATAGATCAGGATTACAAGTTTTAAAATCAGCTTGAATCCTCGCCACAATTACGAACTTTGAAGGGCATTTAGTATACCCCGCTAACATTCCTGCTCCGTGACTGTGTTGTTAATTTCGGTATGATGATTGACGTCCCTTTCATCAAACCGCTCTGATTGGTTAGTACATCGAACACCGCATTATTCACTGGCGTCGAGAACGAAAAACTTCTATCTTGTGGTCGTTTGACAAATAGTTTTTCGTTTTTTGCGAACAAACGATACCGATTCTTGCTGGAACTTGTGGAGATTCTGGTTTCTCCAATGTTTCGGTATCGATAATCACATCTGAAAGGGTCAAGAAATCAAGCATAGAGAGGTAGTCCGCGATATCGGGACGCAGGAATTGCAGTTAAGCATGCGAGACATCAGCGTGATCGTTAATTTTATTTTATTTTACTTCTGTTTATTACATACGGCTATCGCACAGTCCTTCGACTTTAGAGTTAATCTAGAGGAAGGCAAGGACGCAGGGCAGCCAGTGCATTCATTCCCTTCACCAGCGAGTAATGAAGTTTACACCTTTTTTCCGGCGCAAGATGCCGATTCAAAAGCTGCTCGAACCTTGTTTCAAATTTCTGAACAAGGGGTTGTGACAACAACAAAACCGATCGACTTCGAAATCGGCAAGAAAAACTTCTACGACTTGGTGGCTGTGCGGCGTGATCGAGGTGACAAGGAAGGAGGGGTTCCCTTAAGCATCCGAATCTCTATAACAGACACAAACAACTTCGGTCCCACTTTCCCTTCAAATTTGTATCATGGTAGAGTACAGGAAGATTCTCCAGTAGACACTATCGTGTTGGGTCTGGAAGACTGTTTTGCTGAAGACAGAGACACGGTGGGCAGCCTGACTTATTCTATAAGTGGCGGAAACGAGAAAGGGTACTTCAAGGCGGACAAAAGGACGGTTAGCGGCATTAGCCGCGTTTTTCTTGTTTTGAAAACTACAAATGTTAAGATTGTAAGGGACGTCAACGCACCTGAAATAACCTTAACCGTTCGTGCATTCGATGGTAAACGATTTGGAACTACTAAAGTGACCATAAATGTCCTCGATGTTAACAACAACAATCCGGTATTCGACACGGATAGCTACTCGGCCACTATCAACGAGGATACCCCTCTCATGACATCTGTATTGCGAGTTCGCGCTACCGACAAGGATGTTGGTACCAACGGAGGTATTTATTACTACATCAGCGGAGGTTCGCCATGGTTTTCTGTCGATGCTATCACAGGAGTTATGAAAGTGGTGGGTCGGCTACCCAATCAAGCAGTTGTCAACATGGAGGTTATTGCTCGAGACCGAGGTAGGGATGGGACAAGAACCGACAATGTAAATGTGAAGGTAAACATAAATCTTATTGCTGACTACCCCCCAGCTGACACAGCCAACCCAGGTGCAAATACGGCTCCAGTGTTTCCAGAAGGAAGTTACTCAGCAAATGTGCGTGAGGATTTCCCAGTTGGTGCTGCCGTTCTTGTCATCCACGCAGTGGACCGTGATCCTCCAGGCCGAAATTCACGCATACGGTACCGCTTAAGTGGAGATAATGCTTTCCTAATCAATCAAAACAATGGTGTGGTTTCTTTGAGGAACAATTTAGATTTTTCATCTAAAAGTAGTTATGACCTTAATGTTATTGCTGAAGACGAAGCTCAAAGCCCCCTGAGTGCAACAGCTTCTTTGAAAATTACTGTACAGCAAGTGGACAAAAATCGCTTTGCACCAGAGTTTCAGGCTCCAAATAAATATCAGCGTGAAGCTTCAGTTCAAGAGAACAGAGCAATCAATACAAAAGTTGGTAGTTCTGTCATTGCATCTGATTCTGATGGTAATCAAAGGCCCGAAGGTCAGGTTGTATACTCTATTGCATCTGGATCTGGCCTACCATATTTTAAAATTGATGAGAACACTGGTGATTTACGCTCTGTTGCTATCCTTGACAGAGAAAAGCAATCTCAGTATAACCTGTTGATAGAGGCTCGTGATAAATCCCTTTACCCACTAAAATCTAATTTATACATGGTTATTACAGTCAATGGAGTGGATGACAATAATCCTGACTTCTCTCAGCCTGTTTACGATGCTAAGGTACCAGGAAATGCCCCTGCAGGCACCTTTGTGACAGCCATCCATGCCATTGACCTAGATGGAGATCCAGTAACATACTCAATTGAAAATGCTGGAACTGTATTTGCTATCCAAACAAATTCTGGGGTGATCTCCACAAAAAGACCTCTAGATCCTGCCAATGAGGAGAGGAAATTTGTGCTTTCTGTCCGGGCCTCAGCTGCAAATAAGGATTCTCGTGCTCAAGTGATTGTTGAGGTTGTTAGTAAAGCAGACTCACCTCCAACCTTTGTTAATCTTCCATACAAGGTTACTGTGCCGGAAAATCTCGGACAGATTGATAGCCTGTTGTGTTTAGCTGCCAAGGATAGTCAAGGGAAATCTGTGAGGTACTCTCTTGTGAGTGATACTGGTGGAAAGTTTTCAGTGGAACAAGATTCTGGTAAGAATAACAATAAAAGTGATAAGGAAATGCTATTAATTTTCAGTCAACTTTCTCTTAATGACTTTCCCATAGGTAGCCACTTTGTGAGTAACTGTTTTGTTTCTCAGTCTCTTCTTGGTGACTAGGACCACCATAAGGCCAGAAATTTTACAAACTCTTTTGCTTGATATTTCCAAAAAAGATACTACACTTAAGATTAAAGGAAATCACTATGTTACTCAGATTTTACAAACATCTGGTTTAAAGGGGAAAAAATAGATGAAAAGAGTACCAATGCATCTGTGTTGTGACAATGCAATTAGAAGTTTGTTAGGTAACCTTACTTGACATGCTGTAACAAGGAACAAAGTTAGAACAGCAAAAGAGGTATTACACAATAACCAAGAGCGAGTAAGCAAATGGTATACAGTCATATATTGCTTAGGAGAGAAGATGTTTTTGAACTTTGTCCATTTGCTTCAATTAACTGATAAGACAAGAAACAGAAATAACTAGACAAGTGGATTCATTCAGTTTTCGACTTTTTCTATCGACTTTTCTCTTGAATCACCATCTCTCTTAATCCTTTACCTCCTATGACTGCATGACTTAAACTCCTATTGATGCAGATTGCAGATAATAATCCTGGAAACTTGGGCTAATCCTTGACAAAGTGCAAACCATTTTTCCTGTAGTTTCAAGTTATTACTACTAGTATACCCAAAGTTATCCTTTTTCATGTTGTCTAAAATGATTGTTTAGTGTTCTTTCCTTTAAGAGGTTCTCATTTAGGCAAAATTAGTTACAAATACCCATTTTTACTTGTTTTATTGCAAGTTAACAAATATCAAAAAGCAGTCAACAGTTTAGTTGATAAATTTCATGTGACCTTTCATGTTTTGTTTGTTTTTTTTTTTCAGGTCGCCTTTCTGCTACTGGCTCTTTTGATTATGAGGTCTTTACAGGAGGAGTGTATCAAGTACAAGCTTCAAGTGGACCACAACAGATTGCTACAGAAAGAGTCACCATTACTGTCACAGATACAAAGGACCCACCCAGGTTTAGCAAGAGCAGCTACAAATTCTTTATAGATGAAGACACCAAAGCTGGCACTACGATTACAGTAACAAATCAAGATGGTTCATCTGGTGGATTAGTAATTGAAGATGCAGATACACAAATAACAAATTTTTTGTGTACAATTGAGAACATACAGTCCCTAGATATAGAAAATCACTTCAAGATAAAATTAGTGACTAGCAACAACAACAAAAATGGTGAATGCAAACTAACAACTCAGTCACCGTTTGATCACTTTGACACTCCCAAATTTACATTTGAGGTGCGAGCTACTGATAAAAATTATCTCAACATGTATGCCTCAGCACAAGTTGAAGTTGAGATAAGGGACAAGAATAACAATTTCCCAGAGTTTTCACAACAAGATTACTTGGCTTCTGTGGACAAAAATTTTCCTGTGAGGAATTCAATCCTGAAAGTCACAGCAACAGATAGAGATTCTGGCTCATTTGGAGAAATCACATATGAGTTAACTCAAGATACTCAGGATAGAAACAGGTAGAGAAAAATTGCCTTCAATTGTTTTTGAACTCAGTTCATTGTTATAGTATTTTGGGGTTAACCACTTCCCTTTAGAATGAGTTTCCCCGCATCAGCACAATATAAAGCAAAATATTAATTAGAACCTCCCTCAGATCAGCACTACATCTAAGAATGAGGCCATTTTTCATGGAAATGAGTAGGGGCAACATTTGTTGTAAAGTTTTCCAGTTTAAATGCCCCTAGTTTTCTTCCATTGTATCAGGATCATGAAGGTGGAAAGCCTAGATGTTTTGAAAACACAATTCAGGCTAGCCCATTTTTTTGGCCAAAATGAGAGAATCAATAATACACATTTCTGTATTTCTGTTGAAATTTCTGTGTTCTGTACTTTTCAAGAGATATGCAAATTTTTAATGAAGCACTTTCATTTAATAAAGATTGTAACAATGACAAAAATTGAAAAATGCTGCAAAGTTTAAGAGAGTAGATACATTTAAAAATTCAATTTTTTTTATTTACTGGTGTGAGTATTCTTATTTGTTTTGCAGATTCAGTTTAGATTCTAACACTGGTGTGTTGTCCAGTGCAAGTTCATTGGCAGTGAAGACATACAATCTGAAAGTTCGGGCATCTGATAGGGGTAGGTGAAGGAATTCAGGAAATTGAGCTGTTCCTTTGTCATACAGCAAGGTGTTGCATTCTTGGTACTAAGAACAATAGCCATGACCCTATTTCTCATAATCATTAACATGTATCTGATCAAGTGTCAGGTGCAAATTTTGGTGGAAAGATTTACATATAAAAAATTTCTCGCTCTTTCCCTCTATCTTGCAGTAGGTAGCTATGACTAATTTTCAATTATAGGACAGGCTAATCTTTTATATTGTGTAACAGCTATTAACAGGATCTTGTGTCAGACAATGCAAAGATGATCAGGAGTTGAACAAGGCAATTTAAAATTGTCTCTTTGATATTTTGCATAAGTACCCATCTAAAGATACTCTCTTCAATTGCTATTTCTGACCAGTTGGATATGATCTGGAACAAAAATTAGGCTGATGCTATGTTTTCCATTTTTTTTTTTTTTTTCAGCTCAATCTGGTAATGTTAAAAGGAAGGAAGTTACAGTAGCTGTTCATGTCTATGCTCCTGGAACAGCATTTGTCCAGTTTGATCCAACAAGTTACTCTAAAGATATTGCAGAAAATGCAGCAAAAGAAACTCTTGTATTCACAGTAACAGCCAAGGGACCAAGTCCTATTAAATATTCTATTGTTGGTGGCAATGTAAACAATGCCTTTAAAATTGCGCAGAATGGACAAGTCCGAGTGGCAAATTCTCTTGATCGTGAGACACGGGCAACATATAAACTGGTGATTCGTGCTGTCGTAGGTAGCACTACATTGGGTTCAGAGGTGACCACTACCATCAATGTGCTAGATGTGAATGATGTTGCACCAAAAATAACATTCATGGATACTGAACCTAAAGTTGTTGCAATTGAAGACTTCTCACCCAAAGGAAGCTTTGTGATAAAGGTAAGTTATTATCCACTAGCAATAGCAAGGATTTTAAAGATGTTAAGGGCAAAGTAAAAATTGTCTCAGGCTTTCTCCAGGTTAAATTTTTTTTTTTTTTTTAGATTGTAGCAGCCAGCACTTTTCTGTCTTCAACACATGTAGTGGTTGTATAGCATTTATTTAGAACTCAAGATAATTTTTAATTGTAAATCGTTTAAGAATGTTTTTAGTGAGTGGAAAACACAGGGTTTGACAGGAGCTTTTCCAGTCTGTTTTGGATTTGTTGCTTTCTTTATCTGCCCAAAGTGATCAAAATGGAACTTCTTCCTATAATACTCTATCTATACATAATCCAGTAAACAGGTAATGAGAATACTCAAACTTATCAG